GTAAGAAAATGGGAAATCTGAGATAATTTCGTTTCAAGCACACTTTCTTGAGAACTTGAAACGAAGTTATTAGAAGTCTGACCTTGGTACTATTTCTTTTCGATATTCTTAGGTTTATTGGTAGATGTTGAATCCCTATGAAATTTAGGGTTTCTATATTTGAAACACTACAACCCCTCTGTGATGAGGTTTTGAACCTTTACTCTTAAGGCCTTACAGTTCTATGTGGAATGACTCAAAATGCCAAGATAATATATACATGGATTCTTGGTACCTGCAAACCTGGCCGTTGATAAACAAAATTTTAATGGAATCGGTGCGAGAAGTTAATTTTGGAAGAGATGAGGTAGCAAATTTGAATATGACCTAAAAATAGATAGAGTTAGCATATTCTTTCTAGCCCTTTTAATCATCTTTTGGTCTTCTTCTATGCTCCCTTTTTTTTAGTGAGAAGCATATTTCATAGGGTACTCTTTTTTTCTATTGCCCCTTTACCCAACATTGGTCTAACGGTGCTTATTAGGACCATGTTTGATTTCTGAAACTGACTCAAATTATCTTGCTCCTTAATAAGCTCTTGAGAATTTACTAGTTTCATTTAAGCCCCGCAACTGTCATTCAAAACTTTGGCCTCTTCTTGCTCATCAGAATTCCCTAATGGCTTCTCTTCATGAATCAGAACAGTCACCATGTTCATCAACTTGGACATTTTCTCTCTTATCTCGTTGTTAAATTTCTTTACTTGGTCATTCATCTTTTGTTGTGCTCTAACGAGTTACTCTTATAGTTCTTCAATTCTATTAGCCCTTGCTAATATCACATCCATAGGTCTCTATCTTTCTCTAGGTACAACTTGGGTGACTTCAATTTGCTTGCAAGATCATGAAATCTTCCACGAATAATTCTCATACTCTAAGATTGATGCATGTAAAAAATGATTAAATATCATGCAATGTATAATGTATAAATACGAATGCAAATGCGAGTGCAAAATGTGCTAATTCAAATTAGTGGCCACCATTAAGAAGGCATTCGAAAAACCATAAATTATATTTATATCAGATATTCAAATTTCATAATCTTCATTTTTTCATGTCTCCGGTCTTGTCTCTCCCCACGATCCGAATGTTGAATCGTCTCTTGCATTTGATGATGTTCACCCACTGTAATTGTTGGATCTTTAAACTTCTATTTCTACGAGATTTTTCAAGAGGAAACTGGTCTTCATAGCCTTGGGTAGGGTTTTCTCGCTCTTAATCCAGTTAAAACCTGACTCTTTGATATCATCTCGATCTTCATGCCTTCGATGAGAGTCCTTGATTGGCTTTGAGTTATTCCTTCATCGGTTAACTCATTTTGTAGATCATCGATCATCTAAATTTGACTACCTAATTATGGAGCCCATGTGTCGATACGAAACCATCTATTTTTGGTAACCACTTTTGAATTAACACATTTTCATCATAATGATGTAAATGGCATAATGATGTAAATGCAAGAAAGAAAGGAAATCAAAATAGAAGATAGGTTAGAACTTAATAAGATAATTAATCAGAATAATAAGATCTATCATGAACAAGTAAAACCTACTCTCACATGGTATCTACCTCAAACATGGTTTAATAGGTCATACCCAGACATGATCTCTACACTCATGCTTTTGTTCAGCAAATAAATCGTAATCACATTCTTTCTATTTCACATGTTTTGCATTGGAATATAAAACCTAACCGCATGTTTTTCTAATTCTCATGCTTTTGCAAAAACTGAATCTAAGAAAAGGTTAGAGCAAGTTTCCTCTTTTGATACTTCAGAAAGAGTTTCGATACTAAACGGGCAGAACTTCGAGACAAAATGGATAGAATTTCAGTACTACTAAAAACTCCTCGAATTATCCTTTACTGGTGCTCCCTTGGGTCTGTCAAACCCTCGGTCCTTACCAATTTCAAGCTTAAGTAAACCAAGTTCAATTAGAGATTATACATATCCCTATGTCCATGCAGAGAACCAATTTTCGCACGAATGCATAGGGTATGAACCCCAAAGGCTAATAGTTAAGGCCCATGTAGAGTTTCACCCCTACTTAATGGGACAGAACATAGTAAGTAGGCTCTTATTATCCTATAGGGTTTTGATGCGCCAAGGGGAAACTCACAATCCTTTGCCTTGATCCAGAATCAAATAAATTAAAAAAGGGTTAGAATATGAAATCAAAGGAAATCAACATCATTACAACTATTTATTAGTAATAAGCAAATAAAAATGATATATGAAATGCAAAACAAAAAAAGGATCATAATTTAAATATCACTCAAATTTACAATTTTCAAATACAAAGATGATGTATAATCGATTACGGATTGAATCTCTATGGCCCCCAGCGAAGTCACTAAGCTGTCGGAACAATTCTTAAGCTTTCTGGGGAAACTAGAATGGGGATCGAACCAACTTGATTTTGAAAAGATTGGGATTTGAGAAACAATAAGTGATTTAGAGTCGTCAACGACCTTTGGGTTAGGTAGGTCATATACCTAAAAATGTCTTTTAAAATAATTTTAAGAAAAATCAAGTTAAAAGACAAAAACCAACATGTTTTTAACCAAAAATTCATTTTGAAAAAGGTTCGGGAGTCGATTACGCTTGGCAACGCCCAAAATTGGTACCTATTTGATTATATGTCATCTTTATACTTGAAAATTGTAAGTTTGAATGATATTTAAGTTGTGATCCATTTAAAAGGAATTCTTTTATACAAACAATCCTCATAAACACATTTCCCTTATATATGTGAGACTTTTCCATAAATTACCCATATAAAAGAATGTTCTTTTGTATGAACAATCCTCGGAAACACATTTCCCTTTTATCTGGGAGACTTTTCCATAGATTCTCCATACAAAAGGCATTGCTTTAATTTATATTAAATGAATTACATGCACTAGCAATGAAATAGAATTTAAAATTATATGAAAGGCTAAAAAGATGTACAAAGCTCAAGTTGAGAAACCAACATATCAATAAATGCTAAAATATAACAAGACTAAAATATAAATGCTGGAAATTGAAAGAACATAAATTAAAGTACATAAAATTAAAAGAATGAAATGTAAATAACAGAAAAATAAAAAGCATAAATATAAATAACAAAAATGAAAGAACATAAATAAAATAAAAATATATAAAAAATACATAAATGTAAATAACAGAAAAACAAAGTGCTTAAATGTAAATAACAAAAATGGAAGAATATAAATAAAATAAAATAAAAATAAAAAGGGCAGAAATGTATATAACTGAAATATAAAATGCGTAAATATAAATAACGAAAATGTAAAATCGAATAAAAATATAAATTAACGGTTAGTAAGTTAATAGTTAGTGATTATTTTTAGCATTTTATTCGAACCATAAATAATGCGGATCTTAGCCTATAGCAGCTCATCACAAGGTCTAGAATGATTCGAATGCGATAAATAAATAAATAAAGTTAGTAAATTAGTAAGTTATCAATTAGTATGTTAGTAACCCTAACTTCTAACTTATTAATTTAATAACTCCTAACTTCTAACTTACTAACATACTAATTGCTAACCTACTAACGAGGCACTGTTGAGTTGCTACCGAGATGCATGGAGGACTACTGTTCGAGCTGTTGTGGTTTGGGAGGAGTTGTGGAGATCTTCTGGCAGCATTTGGAACCATTGTACGCTCTTTGCTGATGAGAAAAGACTCGATGGAGGCCAACGTGGAACAGGGGACTATCCGAGTTCTCACTAAGGACCTGCTGGCGTGGAGGTGAAACGGCTGCAGCTTCTCTGGCTAGGGTTCCAACTTTGGTTAATGTTTTGGGCTGTTGGACTAGATGCTAAATTGGCTTCGGCCTTCGGCCAATTTTCAAGATAATGGGTTAATGGGTTTCGGGTGTTTAATTTTAGTCTGGGTTAATTCGATTGTGCAAATAGGTTGGGTAGAAATGGTGATGATAATATCCTCGAACTAATTACAATCCCCGATAAGACTACTTTGAACTAATTACAATCCCTTGATAAGACTACTTTGATAAGACTACTTATATGACCGTAAAATCTATCGAAGTTAAATATATTGTCAAGCAATCACATTTATTTGTAATACCTATCAACAAATAACAATCATAATCACACATTAACACTAAAGGTTAATATATAAGTTCCAATTTACTCTACTGTTTATCTTTTCCATTTCCATTACTTCCCATTTTCTTCGACTGTTTATCCTCTCCATTACTTTCCATTTTCTTTGTACTTCCATTTTTTTCGTCCTATCATTACTCTACTGTTTATCTTTTCCATTTCCATTGCTTCCCATTTTCTTCGACTGTTTATCTTCTCCATTGCTTTCCAGTTTCTTCGTACTTCCATTTTTTTTCGTCCTATCATCTTCCACCCGTTGCTGTTCTTCGTCTAAACCAGAAAAGGTGAGCCACTTTGCTGTCACAATCCACATTTTACCACCAACAAATAACAATGTATTATTAATTTTGAACACCACCAGATGCAGGGTCTCATATAGCAGGGACACCATCAAACTGAACTGAAAAATGGTATCTATCAATGCTTTTGAATTCCAATGTGATAAAATTCTGATACAATGGGTGTACTTTGAGTTAGGACTATCCATTTACACCTTAACATTCTTTCTAGACCATGGAACAACACAAGATGTAAAGCCAAGCATTAAAGAGTAACTATACTTTTTAGAGCAAAAATGAAGCTTTCCACTTCGACCTTGCTCCATAAAGAGCCTAAATATCGGCTCCAAATGAATCATTCGTCTTAAAAAAGGGTCAAGAAAGCAGATAGGTACTACAGAGCTTACAACAAGAAGCATTGACAATTTACAGCTAACATCACCCATTTTTGTAACAATCAATTGAACAGCATTGCTGTTGCATTCTTCAAAAAGCATAAGCAACAGCAGCGATAACAATAGCAACAATGAATAGCTAATGAGATATTACGTGATTATAAACAATCCATAAAGATGATAAGTATATATATATACAACCATATATACATTTGAACTTGAATTTGGTACATAAATGGCAGAAATCTTAAAATACCCAATTAATCTGCATATCGGCAAACTGAAATCAATCTCATTGGAACCTTTTCCCTTTCTCCTGCTTCCCCGATACCATTTGCCACAATTCTAACCACCTTCTTAAACGCAAAGTGCACGCAATTCGACAACGCAATCCAGAAAATCACTTCATACATAAAATCCATAGCATTTACAGTCCATGGGGATGACAACGACGAATCATCCCAATTTTGCCCTCCAAACTCACCAAAATTCCAACCACTACCACCCCAATTGCTCCCTCCACCTCCACCGCCAAACGGACCGTACCCATCGCTGCCGTCACTACTGAAGAAGAAGCCGTGAACATCGCCGTCGTTAGAGTCTTCCCCGCCGAATAACATCCGCTTGGTGCGACGCTTTCTGCGAAGGAGAGTTCGAGGTAACGTCTTATAGGAATTAGGCTTGGTGGGAGGAGGTGCAACGGCGTCGAAGGGGACCATTCCGGCGGTTACCTGAAGAATTCCAAGATTATCAGAGGAATAATCGGAGGAGAGGGAAAGACAAACGTTTGCGGCGAATTGATGGTGGGGATCGAGAATCAAATTCGCAAACCCCACGACGTTGGAGGTGGCTACCGTTAACGTATCACAAATTAAAGATATATCCATTAGATAAGAGTGGGGGAAGAGAAAGGGGATGAATTGAATTGGAAAAGGGGGAAATTTTAGGGATTTAGAGAATAATTGCAATGCGGAAAAATTGAGTAGTGGAAACGCAACAGTTATTCTTACATGGCAGTTGGTTTGGACAGGTGTTAGTCCACTGTCGGTAACTTGTTGAGGTGGAATTTTCTGGCGGCGATTCATTTTTTTGTACATTTTCGGCCATCAAGTAAATATTTTTATCCTAATATTCGTCTAACCGCCTCTTTTTTTTTTTTGCGTTATTGAATAAAAATCTCATTAAATATTTTTTAAATAGTACTCCCTAGTTTTTTTTTGTTAGAAAAAAATAATTTTAACAAGAAAAAAACCTTAACATCAAAATATTATTTGTCAGTTATTTTTTTTTCAAATATAAATGATCTAGCACATTTTCTAACAAAGTATAGATCATAAGGTGCGACTTCGCAAAGTTTTGTTTGAGTTGTCGCCATGATAAAAAAGTGCGGATCATGAAGTACGCCTTCGCGGGATTTTATCCGAGCTAGCGCCACGTAGTAAAGACGTAGATCATGAAGTGTGCATTCACTGGGAAATTTGACACGTGCAGGGAAGACGTTGATCATGAGGCGGCGCGACTTCCATTATTCACTTTGAATTATTGAGCATTTCATTATTACCTTAGACTTAACTCTCTCGATTATTCACCCATCTCTCTACCCTATAAATACTTTCAAATACAAACATCAAACCACACCAAAGTTGCTTTCATATCATTCCTTCTATTAAGCTAAGTAAATTTTGTTATAGTTTTTAGAAGGTAAATTTTTTTTATTATATAATATTTTTTTATGTTTAATTATTTGACCAAATTTTATTGTATTAAGTATTTGGTATTATTTTTTGTGGTTGTAAAATGGAATGCGATATCATATCTCGAGACATTTTATTGATATAATATTTTTTGCCAGACAATATTAAATTATTTTATTTAAATTATTATGATTTTTTAATTTTTTTAACATTAGTTTAGATTTTAATTCGTATACTATTTTTTAATTAAGTTTATTTCATCTATTTTTTTACAGACATATTTCAGTTATTGTTTACTATTATGGAGAAATTCGGGAAGATGAATTCGGCATTGTCTTTGCATCAAATCATTCAGTCATAATATCCTTCGAGAGAAACATCACTCTTGAGGAGTTGATCACTAAAATTTAAAGGAATGCTCATATTGGAAGTACTAGAAGACTGTCATCACTTCAGTGCAAATTTCCAGCTACATTATTTTCATTAACTTATATAGCATTCAAACTCTCCAACGATGACGATGTTGCTATGATGGTTGATACTCAAAATCAAAATTCTGACATTGATACACAAATGTATGCCACATTTATTGAAGTGTCTGCGGTTTGTGATATGTCATTATGCTCCTACTATGGGCTGGCTCAACAAGGTGATCAAGTTGACAACCCAACTCAAGTAATGTGTAATGATTTTAACTCGTTAATGGGAAATCCATATCCTGGTATGTTAGGATCGAAGAGGCTCAATTGAACAACCGAAAAATGTGCAAGAGGGGTGAAATGGCAAAAATTGTTTAGGGAGTAAGGAAAAATAAAAGATAGAAAGTTTTGCACAACGATTTATAGTGGTTCGACTTCTCAACTAACTCTACCTCCACTACCTTAGCTCCTCACCAAGGATTTTCTAACAAATTCACTAATTTGTTCTTTCTTTTCAATAGTAACATTTACAAACTCCCTAGTTTTTCACTTGGCTAAACTAGAACCAATCCCATTTACAAAAGGTAAAAAGAAGTAAATAAATAAAACCTCTCAAAGATAGGGTGTTTACAATTAAAGCTCACAAGAACAAAATATTTATAAGAGAAAGTAAAATAGGAATGAAAAACTCTTATCTTGTATTTGATTTATTGGATAGGTGTTCTAACCCTTCTTCAAGTGTCTTGAACTTGTATTTATATATTGGGATGAAGTTGTGGTCGTTTCTAGACGTTGGGAGTGTTTTGGAGTCGTTAGGGATATTTTTCTCTACAAAACAATATTACCCAGAACAGATGGTATCGGTACTCCTATAGGGAGTATCGGTACTTCCTTAATATTTTTAAATGAAACTAGACGTTAGACCTGACGGTGTCGATACTAAGCTTACGATATTGATACTACTATATAAAGTAGTATCGGTATCCCTTTGGGTATCAGTATAATTTTTGCATTATAGAATTTGAGCAAAGTTGGTAGTATCGATACTACCTAGTGAGTATCGATATTTCTCTTACCTTTTGTATTGGTACCATATGAATAGTATCAGTATTGTTCATGAGGTATCGATACTATAAGAACAGTATCAATATTGCTTGTTCAGAAAAATATTTTGTGCTCAATTCCAAGTTAAATGGACTTTGAATTATTTTTGAAAACTTTGAATAAATTCAATTCAAGTCCAAAAACATTTTGCCATAAATTGTTATATCAAAATATAGTTCAACATGGTACAATCCCATCAAGTTCAATGGGGAGACATTCATCAGCAACTTGTTACGATCTCCGTCGAGGTGGCTCCACGAACAATTCGTATGGCAACATCGATTCCAGTTTAAGGGGAAAACATTGATCTTCCAATTTCTTTGACCTGAATTCGGAGATGCCCTCGACACAACAATATATTCAGTACCCATTTGACACGATGCCTACAAGTTTCAAGGGGATGCATTCAACTGCGAACTTCTTCGACCTTAATATGTAGATGTTTGCGACACAACACTCAGTTCAAAACCTGTATGACACGATGACTTCAAGTTCAAGGGGAAGACATTCAAATACTAGCTTGTTCGACCTAAATATCGACATCACAGAGGAACCCTCATCTTCACCAGAAGAACCTCTTCATGAGCCAGGTGCGGATGATGCTGAGACTTGACTATTTGTTTAGCCAAAATCACCACAGTTCAACATAGACTCCGATGATGATGATGTAGATGAAGTTCCCACAAATACAGTACATATGGAACCTCCATCACATATGTATAAAGCTTACTATGGTGCAATGCACAGCCAAAATTTATGGTTATGCCTAATGTTGGTGACTACAGATTTAACTCATCAATCAATTATGGTAAGTTATATATCATAATGGAGTTTTCATCCAAATAAGAAACGATGATTGCAATTAAGAATTACAACATTCGTAATTCTATTCACTCTAGAGTCGACTGATCGACCACCGAAAAGTATGTCTGCTACTATGTCTAACTTGATAACGAATGCAACTGGATGGCTTGTATATCGAAGAGGAAGAGGAAAAACAACATATGAGAACTAACAGTATACAAAGTTCCTCATACATGTTGTGGTAGAGATATCATCCAAGACCATCCCAGCTTCAACTCCGACATTATCTGTCAAGCCATCATGTCCATGGTCAAAGTAAGCTCCCATATAGCTATTACGGTGCTAATTTCAGCTATATAGTCTCAATATGGGTACATTGTCTCCTACAGGAAAACATGGAAGGTAAAGCAAATGTTATTAAAAAACTTCATGGCGAGCGGGATTCATCTTACAACGAACTATTAAGTTGTTTAGCGTAGTGCGCATACTAAATCCTGAGACAATATTGGACTTCAAAACTTTCCATGTATATACCACTATGATTGAGTGCTTAGCGATCGATGTCAATTCTACTGACTTTTTTAGACTTACCCACAGTGTATTAATGCTGTGAAATAATGCAAGCCCGTGGTTCAAATTGATGAGACATTCTTGTTATTGGCAGTTATCCAATATGGTAATCGCAACATTCTTCCAGTTACTTTTGACCTTGTTGAAGGAAAAAATACAAATTCTTAGGCTTTTTTCATAAAAAATTTATGTTTACATGTTGTCACGAGGGAAAAATTGTGTCATTTAAATCGCGGAACTGGGATCAAAGTAGCAATAGAATCTTTGGGTCCAATATGGAAGTCATCCTATGTTCAACATCAGTATTGTATCCGACATATTACTGCAAATTATCATGAAAAGTTCAAGAAGAACGATGAGCGCCAATTACTTGTGCGCATGTATATGTCACAATGTCTAATTTTATTTCTTAATCATTTTCATTTTTATGAGAACTTAACAATAAGTACTACATTTAACACTCATGTTACGAACTATTACCTCAAACGTTTGAGTTCATACTTCACGATTTGCGAGGAAAAAAGATTATATCAATGTATGCGCTTTGAATGTGTTCCACAGGGCAGTGGTTGTCCATTTCGATGAGAATTTCTTCGTATATGTTTTTCTTCCTCCTCACTCTCATCATCATTATCAGCAGTAGCAACAACAATAGTAGGTACATTTTGTTGATGAGGGATGAATGATGATGTAACACCTCCATAGAATGAGGACCTTGGAGGTGTATGACTAACTATCCCACTGCTCATAGAAAACTGTGAAAAATACAAAAAAAATCGACATCGATGAATGCGAAAGCTGAGCCTAAGGTGTATGTGTCTCTAGTGAATCATCACACACCAAATAAGCAGTATATGAAGACCACACTAGATCTATAAACATGAGAGTATATCCAACAGGAGGTGTCATAAAACCTTGTAGTGATGGTAATTGAAATGGTTGCGATGGCATCAAAAAGGGCTGCGGTGCCATTTGAAATGACTGAGGTGGCATATGAAATGTCTATGAAATATAAACTGGTGGTTGTTGTGATGGTTTTGGTATTACAACTGAGGACGAGCCGAAAGCGGCTGTTCTCTGTCCACGAGTCGGGGGACGATGATGTTATGATGGTGGATGTTTTTTCAAATCTGACGAATGCTACGACCTCGTGCTTCCTCAGAAAGTAAAAACAACTTTTTGTTCGTGTTGAACCACTAATAATAGTCATCTGTAATAGAATAATGATCCACATAAATTGGCTCCCTATGGGGAATGCGTCCACGTCGATCCTTCCAAATCATTACTCACTCGTTGTGCTTCATCATCTAGTTGACTTATTTTTTTGCCTCATCTATCGATGTTATGAATATTGTCAAGATTCCTAG